GCCACGATCGAGGGCAGGTGGACAGTCAGTCTTACACACCGGCCTTCATTGCGGTGCAGTCAAGTTCTGTCTAGGTACCCAAGGGGTACCCAGGGGAGGGTCTCCTCGTCTCTACCTATATGGTAATCATGTTGGTCCTCATGGATGTTCGTTCATATTATGGTATAATATATAGAATGGGATATATGGTATATTGGTACATGGTATGTGATATATGGATATGGTGCAATTGCACATGTGCTCTACTAGATACATAGGTACATATATACTGTGTACAAAGACCTGCCGCCTCGCGCCCGAGGTCTATTAGCCCACTCTGTCTATTTATCAATCAATCAGCCCTGGCCTCCCTTCTATCCAGAATGCTTCTTTTCATGGTATGTCTGCATTGTCTGTGCAGAAGAGAACGAGGAATATTATACAAGGGTAGATACAGCCCAGAATCGTCTTGCGAAGGGGTTCTTGTGTCCACAGGTCGACGTGGATAGCTGAGTATCTTCAGCTTCGCCAGGATCAAGTGTTGAGAAGAAGAGAATTGTGGTGCTCGTCGGCTTGTCGTCCTCCCAGCCAAGGGATTTTGATAGGCACCGGTCCCGTGTGGTTGGCGTGGTTGGCATTGCTGAGAGACGGTTGCTTCCCGTTTGTCTGGGATGTCAGGCATTTCTTGGGCCTTTTAGCGGCACTGGATAGCTGTTTGCAGGCGATGCCAACTCTGCTCTTGTTTCCTGGTTTCAGCCAGCTCTCCTCAGCAGCGATACCGCTCACAGAGCTCCTCCCAAGGCCTCAACTAGCCAAAGGGCCAGCCGCACCTTCAAGCCTACCCTCCTGTCAATCTTTGCGAGATCATCCTGCGTTGCGACCGTCGCATCTCTCTGGAGGTTTTCCGTCTCTTCTTTCAGTCTGCGCTTGAGGCCTTCGTCGCCGGTCATGATCATCGCCCCGATTTCCAGGTCAAGGCTGTAACTTCTTTTCGTGTAGTTGCTGCTCCCCACCACTGTAATGCTCGGCCCAGACTCCTCGGTAACCTGACCCTCAGCGTCCAACTGAGGTGGGAGAGTAACCCAAAGGCCTTTTGCATGGTAGGTCATTCCTCCAGGTTCACCGACTGTGCCCCTTCTCCACTCCTTTAGTTGAATAACATCTTCTTTGCCAGCACTGGACACGGTACGGAGGAAGCGTCGAGAAAGCAAAGTGTACGCTGCTGGTAGCATACCACTTACTCCAGGGCTACCGTAGAAGCCGTTGGCCCACGGTGAGGCAGTGATCACCGTGCATGCCTTTTCGAAAGCTCTGAGGCCTGGTTGTACTGCGGACGGGCCTTCCGGAGCGGCTGCTATGAGGAGTTTGCAGATGTCTGGGTCGATGTTGAAATATCCAGCCGTGAATGTCCACGTTGACTTGTGTAATCGCTCATCCTCCGCAAGGTTCGTGAGTAGCTTAGTAATTGCAGGCTTCTCCGTGGAAGTATATTGTGCAAACTCATAATCGAGGAGGCCAATGTTCTTGGGCGCTCCAAGGAGGACGTCGAACTGGGCCAGCGGATAGACGAAGGTCTTTTGCTGCGTGAACTCAACAGGGAACATCTTTTGTCTGGCCTTTTTGTGTATCAATGGTTCGAGGATTTCTTTGGCATATGCCTTGAATCTTTTGGTATGCCATAAAGGATCGGGGTACCCTCGTTCATGAGGACTCAACAATTCGAAGCCGCCGGGACGCTCCTCGGACGGAACCAGGTGGTAGGACAGGTCGCAGACAGCCTCGTGAATAGCGCCATAGAAATCGGTGAGTTCTTTGGAAGAGAAAAGGTGGTACCGATCAAGACGGTTGGTAAAGTAGTCATTGGATAAATTGGCACTAAGTAACTGGGTCAGAACCTTGACAAGAACCATGGTGAGCATTGACCATACCCTGAGAGCATTATTTCATCGTCAAAGCCATAGAGTTTCATATGTTGCAAGCCCCATCCCTCGTTTATCCGCTTGGGCATGTACTTCTTCTTCCATCCATTCAGGTTTGGGGTATGGAACATAGAGATGCGAACGCGGTCGGGGAATTGGACGGCCAACGGTGCCAGGAGGGTGCCGCATGATGGATTAGGATCCTCCCGAGTTCCTCGAAGTGCATCAGTGAGGATCGAAACCTCGAGGTTCGGGTTGTTCTCGAGCGCTTCCTTGAGGGTCTCGATGAGCTCGTGCTCGGTTTTGCCAATGTACAATGTAGACAGGTATATTCGCCGCTTTGCTCCTCTAATCTTGACCTGTAGCACACCTTAGCCGGCCACTTCCCCTTCCAGGCGCGTTATGTGTCTACCTTCAGGGTATCATAGAAAGCGGTGGGAGAGTCGAGGATCTGGATTTTGTCGGGATCTATCTCGAATCGAGGGGCGACATGATCAAGCTGGGTGGCCACTCCGGCGAGAGGGTGCGTTGTCGGAGCAGGGCCATTGCTGAAAGCCGACGACGAGGACGAGGAAAAGCGTCTGGAGACGAACTTCGTTGTCGGGCTGCGCTGAATGAAAGCTCTGGTCGTCCGACTGCAGCTGCGGAGGCCGTGCAATCCACAGCTCCTGGCAAACATGTCCGTTCAGAGGCAAAAGATGGTCACAGCCTGTCACCTTTGACGCAGTTGATACCTCTCCATTTGGCCCATTTCGATCAACGGTCTTGTTGGATAATGGCGGATCTCTCAATGTGTACCTAGTACTCGGTACTTGAATACACCTGCGCACGTTCCCGATATTATTTCTTGTCGATCTCCAACGATGTTGTCATTGCTTGGCGCCATTGACTTGCCTGTTACACACCGAGATCAATAGCAGCCTCCACCCAGCCTTGTCTGCCTTGCATTCCTTTGACCTTGTTAGCGAGGCCCATCTACTTTTCCACTAAACATCAGCTGTCTGTGTAAACCCGGCGCAATGCTCGCATTGAAAATAGAATGACACATTCCACATCGAGTCCTAAGATCAACAGAGTCCTTACTGCTCTGTGGACCACAATTGGGGTACCTTGCATAAGACCTGATTGTAATGTGACACACACACTCTACATTCTCATACAGCATCTTGTGCACCACCCAAGCCTGAAGGATCCCCGGCAGTCACCCAGGTACTGGCTCTTAGCTGGATCAGCCGCCAGGCTCAGCGCACTCTTTGACAGTGCCTCTCCTGTGACCCTCACACATGTATGTCCATGCTCACGAATCATCCGCCGTTATGCAGGCATGGCTGTCCGAGCTAGGTAACCTTCGCCTGGTCACTCAAAGCTGCAACCACATGCAGACGGGTCCTGGCAGCCACAGGCATCGAATTCATCCTGGGCGGGGTCCAGCGTCCTTCACCGCGACAACCATCCACGGATCTTGACAAAATAGGTCAGTGACAATCGGCTTGAGAACATTGAGATATACAAACAGTCATAATCATCGCCCATCTTCAGACACAGAATATCCCATACACGGTCTGCAACGTTCGGCGTGTCCATGAGCCCATCTGTGTTGGCGATACAGCTACGCAGTATCATCGCGTCGCAACCGTGTAACCCACAAGAATCCGCAGGCCTCTTGAAGATGCGGATATTCTCGGGCTTTGTGGAAAGAAAGCCCCATTCGAAGGGGAAACTGGGAGGAGCCATAATATTGACGTTGACTCATGGAGTTCTCAGTATCACATCAATGGGACATGCGAAGGGTTTGCTGGCTTACCGGTGACAATAGCCCAGTGTGAAGATATGCTAGGTCCCTCATCGTACCCATATAGCTTTGCCCCAGCGGAACGAACCAACCCTTTACACTCTTTGTCGGCCTCGACCTTCCAAATAGTCTGGTAAGGTGAGCCAGCCAGCTTGCGTATACGCATAGAAATGGCAGATTCGTGGCATGAGGATTGTAATGTGAGCTTTGAAACCCGTAGGTTCAACGACGTACACTCTCGAATTCTTCGCCCGCTTTCATATGGTACTAGAAATCTCAAGTCAGTTGGCGTCACACGAAGGATCGGGTGAATTTCCGCAGAGACACCCACGATCTTACGCAGGTAACTCCCCTGATTGTAGACAACGAAATTCACGCGATCGGCAGAAATCAGCTCAAGGTCTCTCGGCTCGATCGGTGCATCACGAAACCACCCCGAAGGATTGCTGCGGAGCAAGGTAACGGCCATCCTGGCTCTCAAGGGCAGATCTGCCATCTTCAAGGGCCTCTTAACAGGAAATTAAGAGCGACAAGAGTAACAACTTCAGTATTTGTGAAGCCTGGAGAGGAGAGGGGGAGGGAGAAAGATTTGAAGACATGATGGTATTTAGCAGAGCCGTGGTGGTCATGTGAAGTGAAAGATGGTTGAGCGCCTTCCTCGTCTCTGTTTCTCTGGTGGGTTGCGCCTTCCCAGTCACTGGCCGGCTCCTTCCTCGATACATCCATGGCTTCATCATGCAGGGGAAGCTGCAACCAGGTGGACTCACGACGCTGATATAATAGTCTGGCACCTTCCCTCCATCTGCGGGTCCATTCCTACCAAAGTTGTAGCAAGCAGATGGGATTTCATGTAGGTGAGCTCGTTCTTGTCAAAGGAGTCTGTTCGATCAGCTTGCAAGCAAACACGCTTCTATCTTTCCCTTTAAGCTCCTGCGGCATCGAGCGTGTCACTCCGTCTGTCCATCCTCCGTGCCGCCCTCCAGGCTATCACGCACGAATGCAGTGTGTAGCTACCCAAAGACGGTTGTTGAGATAGACCATTAATGGAACGGTTATATGCCGCTTTGAACGAATGCTTCCTGACCCCGACGTTACATAAAGCGGCATCACACCTGAACCAAAAGAGTCCCGCCGTCCACTTGGCGCATTCGCGTGAGGCGAACACAAGCCAACATCCACTTCCGCACCAGGACAGTTGTCGAAGCGGTGTGCTCGTGGCCGGTGAAGAAATGGAAATATAATGAGCCGTCACAGATGATTCCCTCGAGGTCGGCATCTCAGTTAGAGATCGCCAATGGACTGCGCTGAAAATGCGACTTCCGAAGCCAGGTTTACTCCTTTTCGTCACCCTCGTTGCGAGTACTTCGATTCCATTCACGACCTTGACGTCTTCCACTTGTCCTTTTCGTACAGTAAACTACATTACTCACAGTCTCCCTCAGCAATGTCTTGCGTCGACTCGAAAGGCCAACATCACCTCCACGACGATCGAAACCGCCAGCTCTCCCAGCGGGGTGCCCGCTGTTCCTACATCTTCTCCTGATGACTATTACGCAGAAGATTCCTCCCTCTCGGTTCCGTCTACTGTTCAGTCGTCATCCTCGATAGATTCTTCGGTTCACCCCGTGCACACATCGCAGGAGCAGTCGGCTTTGGGTCCTCCCCAGACAGAAAGGTATGGCGCTTCTTCCGGGACAGATGCCGATCAGCCGGAGGACGAGTCCCCCCTCGAAGACGGAAAGTTTCTCTCTTTTGAGGACTGGAAACGGGAAAATCTGAAAAAGTCGGGTCAATCTGAACATATTGGGAAAGGGCCTGGAATTGAAGGTCGAGAACCGAGGAAGAGAACCGCGTCTCTTCGAGATTCTCTAGATTCGTTGGGGGACGACGCCGAGATAGATTTGGACTTCTCTGGCTTTGTCTCTGACACCCTTGAACCTCCAAATCAGGATCAACCCAGAGTGCAGCAGGAAATTCGCGACAGTTCTACCAAGATCGAACTGGGACACGCTCCGAGAGCCGGCGCGAGGAGTAAAGATGCTGGCACAACCTGCAAAGAACGATTCAACTATGCCTCATTTGATTGTGCAGCCAACGTTCTGAAGACCAATCCAGAAGCCAAAAGCGCTTCAGCGGTACTGGGAAATAACAAGGATTCTTATATGCTAAACGAGTGCTCTGCCCAGAACAAATTCTTGATCCTGGAACTGTGCGACGACATATCGATCGACACTATTGTGCTGGCCAACTTCGAATTCTTCAGCTCGACCTTCCATACTTTCAGAGTAAGCGTGTCCGACAAATACCCAGTCAAAGCCGACAAGTGGAAGACTCTAGGTACTTTTGAAGCTCGAAACACCCGTGAGGTGCAGGCGTTTCTGGTTGAGAATCCTGTCATATGGGCACGGTATCTACGCATCGAGTTTCTTACCCATTATGGGAATGAGTTTTACTGCCCGATCAGTCTCGTCAGAGTTCATGGGACAACAATGCTGGAGGAGTACAAACACGATCTCGAATCGATCCAAATGGAGGATGAAGGCAAAGTGGAGCAGGAAGGTGCCGACAGTGCAGACGAGGATAGACTTGTACCGGAAGCGGTGGCTGAACAGCTTTTGACCGAGAGTGACACTCTCGAAGAGTCTGTCCGCACTGCCGCATCTGATTCATCCCTGGTGCAGGATCATCACCTCGATCGGACCCAAACCCCAGACGTCGAAGATACCCAAGACGCAGTTTCCACCTCTCCGGCGCTTTCGTCCCAAAAGATCAATGGCTTAAGTGACCAAAACGATACATCCAGCACGTGTGAGACGACGAAGGGCTGTGCTAGAACGACCCCCGATGCTCTTCACGGCCAGGATATTACTCAATCGTCTGACACAGAAGCTATAAAGGTGACTACAGATGCTCTAACCCCCAATTCCTTGGGGTCAAGCCACGTCACAACGGCGGCGGTGGATGGGTCAACCTCAACCTCCAAATCTGATCTTATTGTCGACTCAACAGCGACCAATGCTTCATCGTCACCACCCAGCACCAACAGTTCGAAAACACCCGCGTCCATCACGCAGTCGTCCCACCCAGCTCCAACGATGCAAGAATCATTTTTCAAGTCGGTTCAGAAGCGCCTGCAAACACTTGAATCGAATTCGTCTTTGTCCCTTCAGTATATAGAAGATCAGTCTCGCGCACTTCGAGATGCATTCCACAAAGTGGAACAGAGACAACTGGCCAAAACAACCTCTTTCCTCGAACATCTAAATACTACGGTCCTCAATGAACTCCGAGAATTCCGCCAGCAATACGACCAATTGTGGCAGTCCACGGTCATAGAGCTTGAGATGCAGCGCGAACGCTACCAGCAGGAAAATATTGCCATCAATGCGCGGCTCGGTGTGCTTGCGGACGAGGTCATCTTTCAGAAGCGAATGTCCTTTCTGCAATTGCTTCTAATCTTGATCTGTCTTGGATTGGTGCTGTTCTCCAAGGGCAATGTGAACAGCTACCTTGAGCTGCCACTAGTACAAAGTGTCTTGTCCAGATCTCCGAGTTCACGATTTGTGAATGTCACCAGCCCTGACACACCCTCGCAGAACTCTCCCGTCTCGAGATCTAACTCCGCGAGTGCAGTGCAACGGCGTCTGGGTATTTTGAAGGGCCACCGGCGTTTCCCTTCGGAGGACTCGGCTGACAATAGCTTGAGTCCGACTGATTTATACTCACCACCAACGCCTGTTAGCTTCGGCGACCCTTCATCTGACGGCGACGACAAAGAGGACAATGGCAGGCTCGGAGATCCCCAATTTGATCCCAGCTTGATTGAGCGACCTAGTACGAGCCCGCCTGTGCTTACAGGGGCGGAAGACTCCAGTGACTCAGAGCCCAACCAAGGGATCATGGACGAGTCCATTGACAACGTGCTTCTTGGTTCGTCTGCGGGCAGCAGACAACCCAAACCACCTATCGTCCTGGTTGAAGATGCCACGCCTCCCCCAAAACATCTAAAGTGGCAGCTACCGGAGAGCTAGAGATGTTTGGTAGCTTTTGAGGCTCAGGAGGTGGGACATTGTCAGATCCTTCCACCCTGATGTCAATGGAATCACGTCTCGTCGACCTATGGTTCTCGAGGAGCAAGGGCGCATTGAACGCAGTTTATGACGACAAACAAAGTCCGGTCAAGCCCATACACCTACTGAGAGACCTCTCTGGTCTCAACCTGCACCCTTCTCCTATGCTCATGGAATTCCTCTCAAAGCAGCCCAGTCTTCTACAAAAATGCCAAGTATGGGGAAACACCTGGAGTGTTCTTGATCAAGCAGGATAAAAGTATCGGTGGGCTCCCGGCCTACCCAGTGGTGTTCATGAGAACACGCTCAGGAGGGCGTCTTACCCCTTTATGCAGGAGCAAGGTGAAGAGCATGCTGACCAAGCATATGTAACATAGTCTTCCTATCTTGTGGTGTAGGACAAAAAGACCGAACGATAGCCATATAATGACATGGCTCTGAAGACGAAGATGGTGCGGAGATATGCATCTCTCCTGCAAGATGGGGTGGGGAGAGTTACTTGTGTAGAGTTGACACAAACGTCGGTCTCTGGCACTGGTTAGGCGCAACTTGTTGATCGACAAGTAGTGACTGCTACTAGCTAATACTTGTACATAGAAACTGACCTGTATCTGGACAGTCTCTCGTGAGTTTTCTCTGAGCATCGTAATTGACGCTTGGCAGCTCCCGGTTGCGTAAAACCCCTGTGCTTATACAGCCTTGCGCAGCCTTGTGCATCCACTAAGGTGAAACATGATTGGCTGAAATTACTTGCCTTGTCAGTCGATATCCACGTGACTTCGTCCCGCCTTTGTATCGGCGTCGTTACCTGAAACAAGAGTGATAAGTCATAGTATCTATAGTGGCACCAAGGGTTACTCGTAGAGGTCCGTTACAAAATAACTATTATATCAGTATCATTGCGATCGGAATCATGTTCGGGATGGTAGCCGAGATTCGCCAGCAATTCCCTGTTCCGGACAATCATTTCTCCGCCACCGGCATCTGCATCCGTTACATCAACAACAAGCCTTTCACCCTTTCTACCACGATTTCCCCGTTGTACCCCACGCGATCTGCAGACGAGATGGATGAGGGTGTGTCGCAACTTGTCCACGGCTCACCGAATATGTGTCGGTTGAACTGTATTCCTCCGCTTCCCCCTCTCAAGACCCGATGGATCGGGTGTGTTGTACAGGTAAGTTGGATTTGATCCCGAAGCAAATGTGAATCGAGATTGAAATAAGTCCTTGTCATCCGGTTCTGGTGAAATATCTGGTTACTTCGACAGAATCTTCTCGCTGCATGCTATTGCAACTGCTGGACATGTCCAGGCTCAACCTTTACATTGCCGCAGCCGTCGCAGCCTCTACTGGTTCACTGTTTGGCTACTCGGTCGGCTTCGTGGGAGGACTGCTGGTATTGCCTTCGTTCCTTGGCCATTTCCACCTTGATGTCCTTCCAGCGGCCGAACTCGCACGTGCTCAATCACTTGTTGTCTCGTCGTGGATTGTTGGTGCCTTCTTCGGCGTACCAACCGGCATCCCTATTTGCTCTCGTTATGGCCGGAAGGCATGTCTCATCTTCAGTGCTGCTCTGTATGTCCTTGGGACTGTATTGCAGGTGATCAACGCTGGATCAGCTCTGTGGCTGTTTGAGGTCGGGAGATTTCTAAACGGCTACGGGGTTGGCGCTGGCACGCTGGTCTCGCCCATTTAGTATGTGTTCTTTGCATCCATTCTCTGACATCCCCCGCTGACCATGATTACAGTATTTCGGAGATCGCGACACCGTCCAACAGAGGCATACTGATGTCCAGCTTCCAAGTCGTGATCCAAGGCAGCGCTGTGATCGGCTTCTGGGGAGCATATGCTGCGAACGCAGCGATTGCAGACACTTCGGATCTACAATGGCAGATTCCGGTTGCCATTCAACTTTTTCCAGGTATCATTCTCCTTCTGGGAACATTTTATATCAAAGAGACACCGCAATACCTGGCTACCCTGGACAATCTCGAGTTGGTGGAGGATTCATTGTGCTGGTTTCGAGGATTACCCCCAACAGACGTGGCTATGAAGCGAGAAGCCTTCGAAATCTCCCTCACCGTCCTCTCTGGAGTACGTCGACAAGCAATCCACAAAACACATTTTCTCCGCGAAGCGCTCAGTGCCCCAATTCGCAAGCGCTTGGTCGTCGGAGTCGGCCTGTTCGTCGTACAGAACATGTCGGGCATGGTCGCGCTAAACTATTACGTGGCAGTCATATTTCTCAAAGCAGGATTCAAGAGTGTGTCAGCGTCTCTGTTTCTGACTGGGATATTTGGGTTTGTCAAACTCGTCGCCGCCCTCCTCTTCATGTTCCTCTGTGTGCGCATCTACGGCAATCGCTTCTGGCTCCTGTGGGGAACCGGGGTATGCGCCGTATCGATGTTTGTGCTGGGGTACTGTACAGCTACCATGTCTGATCCATCGGATGGCGGTAGCATCCCGTCTGTCGTTCGCGCCACGTTTTGCATTCTGAGTGTCTACGTGTACGCAGTCGCATTCGGGGTGTCGAGCGGGCCTATTCCCTGGAATGTGTGCAGCGAGATCTTCCCTTCGTACATCAACGCGCAGTGCTGCGCGGTCACGACATGCACGCAGTGGTTGTTTCAGGTCGTTGTGGCGGCCATCACGCCTCTCCTCCTCGCCTCCATTGGCCCAATGACCTTTGTCTTCTACGGCCTCTGCAACGTCCTAGGAATGGCATTCTACTACTTTTGCGTGCCGGAGACGAGAGGAGTTCCGTTGGGGAAAGAAATGAGTCGCGTTTTTGGTCACGAGGACTTCAAATACGAGGTTTACGATGGAGTGGTGGAGGAAGTTGAGGATGCTGACGACGATGAGACGCCTTTGCTTGGTTCGGAGAGAAAGAGGAGGCGAAGCTCGATTGCCATTGTGGTATAGCCTGGGTGCTACGCTTCTTTGGCGTTCTAGCCACTCCTGTTCCTGCTCTTTTACAGAAGCGAAGCGGTGCAGTGTCAGAGGCGTCCTTTTTCAGCATTACTCTTTTACAGCTTGGAGATGAATTTCACCCTGTTCGCCACCGCCGTCTTGGCCGTCGATATCTTGGGCGCGAATGACTCGAAGCTATGAGGCAGGCCGGGATAGACGTGCATCTCGAGCGGAATGCCCGCCTCGGCGTGTCGTGCCGCGTACTTGATGTTCTCGTCCCTGAAGATGTCCAGGTCCGGCACGTCGATGTACACGGGTGGGAGGTCCGCCACGGAGGAGACCCGCGCCGGGGCGGCCCAGGGCGAGACGTCGGCGGTGGGGTTGCCGGCCTTTTCGCGACCGATGTATGCAGCCCAGCCCGTGAGGTTGTCGTCGGGCGTCCAGGTGTGGAGGCCCCCTGCGGCCTCGTAGCGGCCCTTGTTGCGGTCGTCGAGCATGGCGTTGACGAGCACCTGCCGGGCCAGCGGGGGGTCGAGCTTCCTGTCCCGCGCCATGATGGCCACCCCGGCCGCGAGTCCCCCACCTGCCGAGTCGCCCATGATGGCGATCCGGGCGGGGTCGACACCCAGTTCCGCGGCACCTTTGGGGGAGTGAACCCACTTGAGCGCCGCGTAGCAGTCCTCGATGGGCGTTGGGAAGGGATACTCGGGCGGCGACCGGTACTCGACCGCGAAGAACGGGACGCCCCCCTGCGTCACGTAACTCTGGATCATCTTGCGGTAAAGCGGGACACTGAGGCAGAAATACCCTCCGCCGTGGGTGTACACGACTGCCGCCGACTGCGTCGCAGCGGAGCCCTTTTTCGCAAAGCGGTGGACGTTGATCTCGACGCCGTCAAATGACGCGACCTTGAAGATCGTCTCCTCGACGTCGTCAACTTCGGGCCAGTTCTTCATCAGGCCCGCCCACATGCCGTCGATGCCGGCGCGGCGCGGGGCGACTTCGTAAGGAGGGTGTTGTGGCGCCGCGGCCATGGCCGGCAGCATGGGCTCGATGGCCTGGTGGTATTCCGGGTCGTATTGGTAGGGCATTCTGCTTGTTTCCTTTCTGGGCCTTGGGTTTTAATTTTTCTTTCCCACTCTGTTAGTCTGGTCTAGTCTAGTCCGTGTTGATCGAAATGGAAATTCAATCTGATATCTGATATTTAAAAACTTGGGATTTATGTCGTGATTCGTGATACCCTTACGATCCACTGCTGAGATCCTTGGATCTAAGACACGGTTGGAAGTTTTGTATACTTGTTGTGTGAGAGAAGAGAATACCCTCGGGTGTTTTTGACCGCGTTAGAGCCGAGGAGGGGGGGGGGGGGGGGCGTGCGAATATACTCTCCAATTTACTTCTGTATATCTAATTACTTACAACACATGTCCCTACAAGCTGTGTACCGTGTACCGGGTCACGATGAAGTGTCTTCTGGCCCATCAATTGCCTGTTGTTGTGTCGGTACATACTTGTCCATCCCATTCAAAAGAGTAAGCCCGTCATTATTCATCCCCTCCTGCAAAGCTCCATCACCGAAAAAAAAAACTGCCCATAGAGAGG